TCAATTTAATGTGCACGATTTCTGGCAGTCTGCAAAGGCCCTTAGTGATGCCATGAATTTCATAGGGTTTTCTTAGGCAAGGAATCCTCAGAGGTGGTTTTGCTAGTTCCTTCCTCTGAAATATAGCTCACAGAATCTGATTTTCAATGGCAGTCTCCCATCCAAAGGTGACCCTGCTTTTCTTCCAAAATTGAACATGATCTGGTGCTTTAGGGTATTTGATGTGATAATGTGTGTGCCTTCAAGTCATTTCTGACTTATGGAGACCCTAAGGTGAACCTATCATGGATTTTTCTTGGTAAGATTTGTTCAGAGGATGTTTGCCTTGCCCTGAGGCTGAGAGCATGTGACTTGCCCAAGGCACCCAATGGGTTTCATGTCTGAGCGGGGAATCGAACCCTGGTCTCCAGAGTCACAGTCCAACATTCAAACACTAGGGCATGCTGGCTTTAGGGTATTTGTCTTTTCATAAACTGTAAACCTCAGGATTCCTTAAGATGCAGCCAAGGCAGTAAAGTGAAATAATTTTAGTATAAAATATGTACACTTGTCTCTCTACATTCGTGGGGGTTAGGGCCACAGGACCCCTGTGAATGTGGGAAAACTGCAAATAACAAAAAACCCTCTCTAGGAATTTCTAGGTTCTTCAGTGTGACTTTTGGCTAAAGCTGACCATAGAATTGCGCTGGAGGACCTAGATATTCCTAGAGAGAACATATTAATAAAATCCATGAATAATCAAATCCGCAAAAGTCAAAGGCGCACATGTGGAGGGACAAGTGTAATTTGAAAGGTTGCCAGTGCACTGTTTAACATTTTAAAATTGCTGTTTTTCAACAGCACAAGTGGGCTCTGGCCCCTGCAATATTTATTTGTTTTTAGCAGTCCCTGTGATCCCTGGAAGGTCCCTGGGCAGAAAATTGGTTCCCAGACCCTTTTGTAAGTTCCCTACTTTGGCTTGCATAAATGATTGCATTTTTAAATAAAGATAGATAAAGAAATAGTACAATGGCTGAAGAAAAGGGCAGCACCAGGCTTATGTTTCTGACATTATAAGCTTTTGTAAACTAAAGGGCCTTTGCAGACTGCCAGAAATAGTGCACATTAAATTGAGGCACTGTCCTGGCTCAGTGCTAGGGAATCATGGGAACTGTAATTTATTGTGGCACCAGAGCTCTCTGACAGAGAAGGCTCAATGTCTCAGAAAAAAAACACAATTCCCATGATTCCCTAGCACTGAGCCAGGGCAGTGCCTCAATTTAATGTGCACTATTTCTGGCAGTCTGCAAAGGCCCAAAGTCTACTTTCTCCAGATGCATCTGAGGAAGTAGACTCATGCTGCCAACTTCTTTCTTTCAGTGAGTCTCAAAGGGGCCACAAGGTATCTCTCTACATCAGGGGTAGGCAACCTTTCCCCTTTAAGGGCCAAGGGACTTCAGCTCCCAGGATCCCAGGAGCTATTGGCCAACATGGGACTATTGGACAACATGGCTGAGGCTTCTGGGAGCTGAAGTCCCTCGGCCCTTAAAGGGGAAAGGTTGCCTACCCCTCCTCTACATACTGATTCTACAAACTAACATGGCTATATCTTTGAATTCTACCTCTGATCATTTGTTGTTGTGTGCCTTCAAGTCCTTTCCACTTGGATCGACTTTAAGGCGACCTATTACAGGATTTTTTTTTTTTGCATGATTTGTTCAGAAGGGGTTTGTCCTTGCCTTCTGGCTGAGGCTGAGAGAGTGTGACTTGCCCAAGAGAGTAGGTTTCCATGGCCAAGTAAGGATTTCTACCCTGGTCTCTAGAGTTGTAGTCCAATGTTCAAACCACTCTGGCTCCTAAGTGGAATTGCAGTGCTATCTCTGTGTAGTAATAGCCTTAGGGCGAAATCCAATTTAATCTCAACTAATGGCGCCAGATCCTGTCTGATCTTGGAAGCTAAGAAGGGTCAGCTCTAGTTAGGGCCTTTGCAGACTGCCAGAAATAGTGCACATTAAATTGAGGCACTGCCCTGGCTCAGTGCTAGGGAATCATGGGAACTGTATTTTATTGTGGCACCAGAGCTCTCTGACAGAGAAGGCTCAATGTCTCAGAAAAAAACCACAATTCCCATGATTCCCTAGCACTGAGCCAGGGCAGTGCCTCAATTTAATGTGCACTATTTCTGGCAGTCTGCAAAGGCCCTCAGTGCCGGGATGGGAGACCACTAAGGAATAGCAGATGCTTTTGCTTTTCTCATAGGCTGAGAAAGTGTGACTTGCCCAAGGTCATCCAATGGGTTTCCATGGTTGAATGGGGATTTGAACCTTGGTCTAGAGCAGGGGGGTAGGCAACCTAAGGCCCATGGGCCACCGCCACTGCCATGATGATATTGATTATTGTTGTTATTACTTGATCTTGGGGTTTTGCCATGGCTTTTCTGGGGCTGAGAGAGTGTAAATGCATATTTTTTAAAAAAATTTTAAAAAAATTAAAAATATTTTTATTTATTTATTTATTCATTTTTGGTGCTTCAGCCCCCCAATTGTCTGAGGGACAGCAACCCGGCTCCCAGCTCAAAAAGGTTGCCCACTCCTGGTCTAGAGTCACAGTCCAGCACTCCACCCACTCCACCAGGCTGGCTATCAGGGGATTTTTTTTGCCAGATTTGTTCAGAGGAGGTTTAGGTTTGCTTTTGCCCTCCTCTGAGGCTGAGAGAGTGTGATTTGCCCAAAATCACCCAATGGGTTTCCATGGCTGAACGGAGATTCGAACCCTGGTCCCCACATTCAGAGTCTAGCACTCAACCCACTACACCACATTGGCTTTCATGGCCACCTTGTTAGGGGTCAACAATTCTTTGCCGGATTTGTTCAGGGGGGGGGGGGTTGCTTTTGCCTTCCTATGAGGCTGAGAGAGTGTGACTTGCCCAAGGTCACCCAATGGGTTTCCATGCCGGAGCGGGGATTCGAACCCTGGTCCCCAGGGTCAGAGTCCGGCGCTGAAACCACTCGGCCAGGCTGCCTCTGAGCACCTTTACAGTGAAGGAGGCCACAGCAATTACACTCAGCGACGTCCCCCGCCGGCTATCCGAACGCTCCAGCCAGTCCAGACAAAGCGCCGGGCTCCCATTGGCGGGGCCGCCGAACATTCTGCGCGCCGCGTCCAATCAGCTCATTGACATGCAAATCGGAAGGTATAAATAGGGCCGGGGTGGGGCGGCCCTGGGATTTGGGGGGCGGCGGCGGAGCGGCGGAGAAGGATCCTCGTCGGGTTTAGCCGCCCCCATTTTGAACGTGCCTTGTCCCTTTTGCCGGGCAGAGTCCCCCCAAACGCAGACCCACAGACCCTCCCCACCATGGCTCCCTCCTCTCGGACCAGCCAGAAGAACCGACCCAGCCGGGAGGACGCGGATTCAGACGAGACGCGGGGAGACAGGAAGGTGAGAGGCATTTTGGGGCGGGGGGGGGAGGAATGAGGAGGTCTTAGGAAGGGGCTGTTCTCCCCACGGTCCGCCCCCAGGGGGTCCCATCTGCCACCCTTCTTCAGGGCAGGGTGGCCGGACACGTCCTCCTTTTCCAGGACACGCCCTACATTTCAGTCTCCTAACTAGGAGAGATTGCAAAGTGTCCTCCAATTTGAGCATGGCTAAGAAGCAGGGTTTGACATCGAGATGAGTGCTTTTGCCTCAGGGTGACCAGGCACGCCCTCCTTTTCCAGGACGCATCCTACATTTCAGCCTTCTCCCCCTCCCAGGAAGGTTTGCAAAGTTTCCTCCATTTTGAGCATGGATTTGTATTGATGTTTTTAGTTCAGGGTGACCAGATATGTCCTACTTCTCCTCCGCAGACATGTCCTACATTTGAGCCTTCTGTCCAATAGGAATTGTTAAATGCCCTCCATTTTAAGCGGGACTAAGAAGCATGGACTTCCATTTATTTGAATACTTCTAGTTTTTAGTTTGTATTGTCCTACATTTTTCTCAAATGTCTTATTTTTTGTAGTGTCTGGTCCTCTGCCAGGGTGAGCAGGAGTCCTCCTTTTCCAGGACATGTCCTACATTTCAACCTATCCAGGAGGAATTCCAAATTGTCCTTCATTTTGAGCAGAACTAAGAAGCACAGATTGACATAGATATGTGTGCTTCTAGCTTTTAGTTGATCTTCCATTTTTGCTTAAATGTCCTACATTTTGTGGTGCCTTGTTGTCCTCCTGAGTGTTGAGGACAATGGGTCACCCTGCCCCATGACCCAATGTCCTAACCAGCAAAGAGGACAGGAAACTGCAAAATGTTGGACAGACAAGCACAAATGTAGGACATGCCCCAATAAGAGCTTAGACAGGGTGACCAGATGTCATAACTGCAAAGGAGGACAAGACACCACAAAATGTCAGGACACTGTCAAAGCTAAAAGCACTAATATAAATGTCAATGCGTGCTGCTTAGCTGTGTTGAAAATGGAGGACATTTTGCAATCCCTCTTGCAGAGAAGGTTGAAATCTAGGACAGGTTCTGGAAAAGGAGGACATCTGGTCACCCTGAGCCAAAAACACTCAGCTCAATGTCAGTCCCTGCTTCTTAGCCATGGTCAAAATGGAGAATACTTTTCAATCCCTCCTGGGGCCTTTACAGACTGCCAGAAATAATGTAGCTTGAGTCCACTTTAACTGCCCTGGCTCGGTACTAGGGAATAATGGGAACTGTAGTTTTTTTTTCTGAAACATTGAGCCTTCTCTGTCAAAGAGCTTTGGTGCCACAATAAACTGCAGTTCCCATTATTCCCTAGCACTGAGCCAGGGCAGTAAAAGTGGACTCAAGCTACATTATTTCTGGCAGTCTGTAAAGGCCCCTGGTTAGGAGACTGAAATGTAGGACCTGTCCTGGGAAAGGAGGACGTGTCTGTTCACCCTGAGCCAGAAACATCTCATTGTCAATCCCTGCTTCTTAGCCATGCTCAAAATGGCAGGCACTTTGGAATTCTTCTTGGAGAGAAGGCTGAAATGGAGGACATGCCCTGGAAAAGGAGGATGTCTGATCCCATCCCTGCCTTAATTGTACTGTGCTTTTAAGTTATAAGCTGCTTTGAGTCCCAAGTTTTGGAAGAAAAGCATTACAAATTGTTGTTGTTATTATTATTATTATTATTATTATCCTCTCCAGGTGAGGAAGCCACTGGTGGAAAAAAAGCGCCGGGCGCGCATCAACGATAGCCTCCAAGAACTTCGGCTGATTTTAGCGGACACAGAGGTAGTAACTCCCCCTTGAAGATTTCTATGGGGGGGTGGCAGGGAAAGGGATGGGGGATCAGTGGGGCTGGCAGGGTGGAGGATGGCGCTGCTTCGGGCTTTGCCTGTCTCTCTTTTGTTCCCCTTTAGTTCCAGGCGAAGATGGAGAACGCCGAAGTGCTGGAGCTGACAGTGAAGCGGGTCCAAGGCATCCTCCAGACCAGGTCACCTGGTGAGGGACCCCATTTCTTGCCATCTTTGCACACACACAAACACACAAGTACATGTACACACAGACACCATTCTTCCTCCCAGATGTGTTAAGATGTATGTATGTGTGTATGCACCTTCAAGTCACCTGTTGATTTATGGAGACCCCACAGATTTTATTAAGTTTTCTTGGGCAAACAATCCTCAGAGGTTGTTTTGTCAGTTCTTTCCTCTGAAATATAGCCTACAGCGCTTGGTCTTCATTGTGGGGGGTTTCCCATCCAAGTACTAACCAGAGCTGACCCTGCTTAGCTTCCAAGATCAGGCAGGATCTGGTGCCTTTGGGTCTTTAGTCCCATTACACTAAGGGTTGCTTGGATCTTTATTTAACTCGCTGTGCATCTGCCTTCAAGTTGCCTGCTGACTTAGGGCTTATACAGACTGCCAGAAATAATCCAGTTTGAGACCACTTTAACTGTCCTGGCTCAGTGCTAGGGAATCGTGGGAACTGTATTTTTTTTTTTTTCTGAGACATAGGCCTTCTCTGTCGGAGAGCTCTGGTGCCACAGTAAACTGCAGTCTGTATAGGCCCTTAGAGGCAGCCCCATGGATTTCATAGGGTTGTCTTAATCAAGGAGTCCTCAGAAGTGGTTTTTCTTCCTCTGAATTATAGCCTAAACCGCCAGGTATTCATTGAGGGTCTGGCATCCAAGTACTAATCAAGCCTGACCCTGTTTACCTTTCAAGGTCAGATGGGATCTGGTGGCTTTCAAGTATTTTCTTGCTGTTGTTGTGTGCCTCCAAGTCATTATTGACTTATGGCAACCCTAAGGCGAACCTCTCGTACGGATTTCTTGGCAAGTTTCATTGGAAGGAGGGCTGCTATTGCTTGCCTCTGAGGCTATGTGAGTGTGACTTGCCCAAGGTCACCCATGGGTTTTTTATGCTCAGACGGGAATCAAAGCCTGATCTCCAGAGCTGTAGTCCAACTACACCACAGTGGCTGTCTGTAGCATTTAGGTTTCCCTAAAATGGGTATTCCATCAATACTGATACCTCCTTACTAGGATGTGTGGTGGGTGGTGTGTTGGTAAATCAAAGGGAATTGTCATTCTAAAGGAAAATAGACTGTCAACATGGGGACAACCACAGACATTGGGAGAGGCTTTTTGGTTTATTTTTCATGAAATATTCACAAGTAGTGTAGGCCTTGAAGGGACCAGATCCCTTCTGATGTTAACAGCTAAGTAGGGACAGACCTGGTTAGTACTTGGATGGAGGACTGCAAAGGAGTCCTGGATTTGTAGGTTATATTCAGGGGAAAGCCATGGCAAACTCTGTCTTAAATATTCTTAGC